CCGTCCGCCGCCTCCTGGTCCGATCCGGAGCGGGGCTGAGCATGGCGGCAGTAAATGAAGCCCTTTCTGGCCGTGCGTCCATCCTGGCTGACCCTCCCGACAGGGTGGCTGCATCCCGAGGGTACGGTCCAGCCCTGAGCCGTGTAGAGGAGTTGGCTGGAGGATGCTGCCTTCCCTGGGAGGGGGGAAAAAAATCCCCTGAGGTCTGGGGAGAGGAGCTGCAGGGATGTGGCACCGTGTCCTGCCTTCACCCCTGCCTGCGCCGGTGGTGCCAGCGGGCTGCCCGGGGCACCGGGGCTGCATGCTCCGGTGTGGGCTGCAAGAGGGGGTTTTGCAAGCGCGGGGCTGGGTCGTTCCCACCCCGGCTCAGCTGCCGCTGCCAGGAGCTGTGGGGCAGCATGGCCGCCGTAGCCTGTTCTGCCCCACGGGCAGCTCCGGCGTGGGGCCAGGTGTGTGCAGGTGAGGCCAGCACCGTTCGTACCGTCTCCCCGGCTTCTTTGCAGGGAGTTTTGGTGGCCACCGCGCTCCCTCCTGCTGCACCGCACCCGGCGTGCCTCAGTTTCCCCCTTCCCAGCACGGCAACGCCGCTCACCAGCGGCGGGGAAACCTCGTTAGGAGTCGCCGAGCCGGCCGGGAAGCCTGGCCGCGCCGTGCCGGCGAGCAGCAAAAATTATGAATAAGCTTTTGTTAATAAATACTTTATGATGAATCCAAATAGATTTCCTCCTCTGGAGCAATTATTGTAAAATGGGCTCTAATACGGCGCAGGGCCGCCCCGGGAAAGGCTGGGTGCTTTTCAGGGCCTAAGTGCCTCCTTCCATCCCCTCTAATGAGCACTTCCCAATCATTTGCATCTGTCTCGGCAACAGGTCTCATTACCAGGTTAACTTATTACCCAGAGCCGCTTTGGCGAACGGTTAAGAAGCGGCTACCGGAGGCTTTGCTGGGGCCACAGGAAAGCGTTTCATCCGTGCTGAGGTTGCCCGTGGGCTCTGGCGAGGGGAAGCCGGGGTTGGGGCAAGGAGCAAGTCCCCACCGTGCCCCTTCTTGGTACCGGGATTTCGGGATTCTCAGGATAACCAGAATCTGTGGCTGTGTTGTTCCCCCCACACCCCGCTGGCTGGCGGGGAGGCTGAGCATCCTTTCATAAAATAATCCCTGTGTGGTCCCTGCAGGGCCGGGATGCGGCGAGGTCCCCCGCACGGCTGCCCGCCCGCAGCGGGGATGCCATCCCGCTCCTCCCCGGGGCCGGGGCCACGCCGGTGGGGAGCAAAACCCGCTGCCGAGGCGACTGACCCCTCCCGTCCCCCTCCTCCTCCTCCTCCTCCACCACCACCCTCCCTCCCCGTGTTCCTCCCTCCCCCATGAAAACTGCTCGGGAATTTCCTGAGGAAACGTTTTTTTTTTCAGCGGAAAATTCAGGCTGTTTCGCTGAGCCCGACCTGTTTGGACAAGGCGCTGGAGCGCGGGATGCTCAGAGGCTCGGCCAGCCCGTGCCGTGGTGCCCGGCCACGGGGCCCCATTGCTTGGCACCGTGTCCCCGTGTGGCACGGAGCATCCTCTGCTGTCTCCAGGGGCAAAGCCACCACCGGGGTGCAGGACCCCAGCACCGGCCCAGCCGGTGAGGACGGGCAGGAGGAGGGGCAGGAGGAGTTAATCCTGGCACGGCGTGCCCAGCTCCATGCAGAGCATCGCTCCTTCCCCTCCCCTCCCCGCTCCGTGGCAGGAGTAACACCCAGAGGGACCCGTGCCTCAGTTTCCCCTCGTAGCATCTGGCAGGGAAAGCCAGCACTGTGCCGGTCTCTGGGAGGAGGGTGCAGGGTTGGGGGGGGCCCTGTGGCGGGGCCGGCAGCACCCCCCGACGCAGGCGCGCTCCTCCCCGGGTCGCGGGGCTTTACAAGCCCGGGCTGGATGGGGCCCAAGCACAGGCTCTGCTGCCAGATTCCCGTCCGGAAATGCCCCGGGAGCAGCCTCGTCTGGGGTATTGCAGCACGTCTCTGCTTCCCAGCCCCGCGAAGGAAAAACAGCAGGAGAAACACTTAACCAGCCCTTTGCCGGCCGGGATGGCGGGGATGGGTGACAGGGACAGAGGGAAAGCACATCCCTGCCTTTTTTCCCCCAGAGCCACGCTGGCCACGGAGCTGCAGAGAGTCAGCCAGGGTGGCTGCAAGGTGCCAGCAGCGTGGTGGGGATGGAGGACACGGGGGATGGTCCCCAGGTCCTCTAGTTTGTCGCCTCGGCCGTGTCCGTCGGACCGTCTGTCCCCGTGCCCCCCGGCCGCCCTCGCCTGGCCCCGCTAAAGCGGCTTAACTCCGGGCGGCATCTCGGCGCGGGATAAGCCGGGCGGGAGGGAAAGTTGGTGAGGGGCTGATCGGCTTTCGGTGCCGCTCCCGTCCCACCCTAATCCTGGGCAGGGGGGTGGGCACCGTGGCTTCCGAGCCACCGAGGGCCGTGGGGGGCTTCTGCGCACGAGTTTTTGGGGGTCCCACATGTGGGTTCAAGTGGGACCCGAGGGCTGTGGGGGGCTTCTGCGCAGGAGTTTTTGGGGGTCCGAGATGTGGGTTCAAGTGGGACCCAAGAGCCGTGGGGGGCTTCTGCACACGAGTTTTTGGGGGTCCCACATGTGGGTTCAAGTGGGACCCAAACACCGTGGGGAGGGGGAAGGCAAAGCCAGCGTCTGCTCAGAGCCCCCCCAGAAACCAGGGCTTGCACTCGCTGCCCTGTGGCAGGGCGCTGAGCGTCCCCCAGCCCTTGCAGAGCGGGGAGCAGCACACAAGGGTGCTGCCACCCCCAACACGGATAACCTGGTTGTTGCCCTGCATCCCCGCAGTGGTGCCCGGGGTGGCAGTGCCCAGCAGGCGGGCAGGGATGGGGACAATGGCGCGGTGTCCCCCCCAGCCCTGCGGCCAGCCCTGCCGCCGGCTGCCTGGGGAGGGTGGCGGGGCCGGGGGATGGCAGCAATTTGTAGGGCTCGTCTGAATAACCGGCCACCAAGGAAGATCAGCCGCCCACCACCCCGGCCAAGTATTGTTTTTGGAACTCGCTGCTGCTTTTTTCGGCTCCTGTCTTACTTTTCTTTGACCTTCTTCCCTGATTTAAGACACATGCCCAGCCCTTGCCCAGCTGCACTGAATTAGCAGCTGCTGCCGGGGAGGGAACCAGACCCTGCAGCCGCCCCGGGAGCAGCCGGCGGGGACGAGGCCACTAAGGCAGGGATGGATTCCCCCGGCAGGATGAGTCCCCCGGGCAGGGATGGGTCTCCAGGGTCAGGGTGAGACCCCAGGCAGGGATGGGTCTCCAGGGTCAGGGTGAGACCCCCAGGCAGGGATGGGTCCCCAGGGTCAGGATGGGTCCCCCAGCAGGGTTGTGTCCCCACGGGTGGGATGGGTTCCCCAGCAAGGGTGGGTCCCCTGTTCTGTTGTGGGGTCTGGGGGGACACAGGTGGGTCCGGAGCAGGGGCTGTCGGTGGGGTTTGTGCTGGGGTGATGGATCAGTGCTGGCAAATAATGGGGTCTGAGCTTGGGGGGGACTTTTGGGGGGGTTAGTGGGGCTGTGCTGGTGGTTACTGGTGTCTGTGCTGGGTTCAGGGGGTGCTAGGGTCTGTGCTGAGATGTTTGTGCCAGGTCACAGCAGGGTCTGTGCAGGGGACACTGGTCCAAGGGACAGAGGGGGCTGCGCTGGGGGACCTGCTCTGGCTTTTAGCAGGATTTGTGCTGGGGAGTGGGTTTGGGGTTTCGTAGGGGCTGATTTGGGGTTAATGGGGTCTGTGCTGGATGTGGGGCCGAGTGGGTCCATATGGGGCCAGTCCCCACCAGGACCCTGCTTCAGGGGACACTGTCCATCCAAGTAGGGTCACTTTGGGACAAGGCTGCTTCAGCCAGGGAATGGCATCGCTGCCCTGGGACAAGCGGGGCCAGTCGCCGTCTCCAGAGCCGCTCGCTCCATCCCACTGCCTGGGCTGTGTCCCCCTCACGGCCACCTCCTGGGTCCCTCCCCAGAGCAGCACCTGCCCTTGGCACCTTCCCCCTGGGGTGGGGGGTGACCAAACCCGAGCATGACCCTGCAAAGAGGGGCTGTGACACGGTGGTGGCAGCTGCCACCACCCACCCCCCCGCCCAGCACTGGCAGCCTCTGGTGGGTCTCGAGCTCCTTCCCCCTCCACATCATCCCCTGCCACGAGGGACCCCGAGGGCCAAATCCTGCCCTCGGGGACCAGATTGCTGCTGCCCTGGCCATGCACTGGGATGCTTGGCCCTCTCCCTGCCATTTTCCCTACCAGGAGATGCCCTGACACCGCTCCATCCTTTGGAGGGGGGGGGACAGTGGCCCCCTCCAGCCAGGAAGCACTGATTTTTCCAAACTGGGGGAAAAAAAAAAAAAAAAAGAAAAAGGGATGCGTGAAGGAGGGGCCGGGGAAGGGGGGGGATGCATTTTCCTTGTTTTCTTTTGGGGCCAGACTCGTCCAGCAGCGCTCGCCAAATGGAAAAAGGCAGTCAGAGCACGCCTTGTGCACTGGGCCAGGCGCCAGCCGCCGGCCTGGCCGCAACTGGGGCAAACTGGGGGAGTTTTCCTGCTGGTCCAAAGGGAGCGGAGAAGTCCAAGGCACCCACAGCCCCCACGGGAGCACCCGGGATGCTGGGGGTGTAGGGGACCCCTCCCTCGGGTGCCATGGTCTGGCAGTGGCATGGTGGGTGGGATGGCAGGCAGGATTTCTGTCGGGAGCGGATCCCGGCAGGCGGGAAGGGGAGAGGGTCTGGGTGCTGCCGAGCTGCCGTGCCTTGCGCCTGGGAGGGTTGCAGCCAGTGGGATTTAGGGGGGGCTGCTGGGATGGGGGGATCCCGCTGCGTGGGGAGGGGTCCCCCGTCCATGGTGGGCACGTGCCTCTGCCACAGCTCTGCCTCCCAGTTGCACTGGGATGCAGCTCAGCGGGGATGTCCCCAGCAGGTCCGCAACCATCCCAGTGTGGGTTTGGGGGGCTCAACTGGGAGTGACCGCCTGTCCCTCTGCTCCCCCAGGATGAATTCCACCCCTTCATCGAGGCGCTGCTCCCCCACGTCCGGGCCTTCGCCTACACCTGGTTCAACCTGCAGGCCCGCAAGCGCAAGTACTTCAAGAAGCACGAGAAGAGGATGACGAAGGACGAGGAGAGGGCGGTGAAGGACGAGCTGCTGAGCGAGAAGCCGGAGGTGAAGCAGAAATGGGCCTCGCGCCTCCTGGCCAAGCTGCGCAAGGACATCCGGCCCGAGTGCCGCGAGGACTTCGTGCTCTCCATCACGGGCAAGAAGCCCTCGTGCTGCGTCCTCTCCAACCCCGACCAGAAGGGGAAGATGCGCCGCATCGACTGCCTGCGGCAGGCGGACAAGGTGTGGCGGCTGGACCTGGTCATGGTCATCCTCTTCAAAGGGATCCCGCTGGAGAGCACCGACGGTGAGCGCCTGGTCAAGTCGGGCCAGTGCACCAACCCCATCCTCTGCGTCCAGCCCCACCACATCAGCGTCTCCGTCAAGGAGCTCGACCTCTACCTGGCGTACTTCGTCCGCGAGAGAGGTGGGTGCTCGGGGGGTGCTCAGTGGGTGCTCGGGGGGTGCTCGGTGGGTGCTCGTCCCTGCGAGGCAGTGCCAGGATACGTCCCCACCAGATCCCTCTCCCTGGGCGGGAGGAGTGGGGAGGGGGGTGTTCTAGCTTTCCCATCCCCCCCCCCTGCAATGTCCATCCCGTCTCCAGCCTGGGGACACCCCTCGGGGACACGTTTCCCATTGGCAGACCTTGCAAAGAGGATTGGTGCCCCCCACCCTGCCCACACAGATGCTCTCCCCTGGGGGCATCCTGGCTGCCCCGGGAGGTGCGTGCCAGGGAGGGGAGGAGGCCAGCGGTCCCTGAGGATGCTCCTGGCCCTGGGCATCCCCAGAAGGGGGGGGTCGGGGGGCTACCTCTGCGTCCCACACCCGCCTGACGCGGCTGCCTGTGCTGCCAGCCCGGAGGAGCGGGTGGGTGGCGTGGGCAGGGAAGGGACAGCCTGTTCCTGGCGCGTCCCCCGAGGGCTGGAGCTGGTCCAGCAGTGCCAGTTTGCCGTGGGCTGGCATCCCAGCCCCTCACCCGGCGGGGGGAACGAGGAGGGGACAAGAGCGGCTGAGGCCAGCTGGGGAGGGGGCAGCGATAATGCCAGCAGGGGCAAACCCCAGCAGCTTCTGCTCTGCACTGAGGGGGTGCTGCTCCCCTGCCCATCCCCTGCCCGGGGGTCCCACAGACCCGCTGGGAGAACTGGGCTGGTTTCAGTCCGGTGAGGAGGGAGGGTCAGAGCTGCTCTTGAAGCCTTGATGATTGAAAAGGGGGAAACTGAGGCACGGAGGGGGGCAGGGGGGGGGCAGACGGCAGTTCCCAGGCTGAGAGGATTAGGTCCCTAAGCCACCGTCCTCGCTGCCAGCTCACGCCACCTCCTCGCATGTCGGGCAAGGGAAGCTCCTCGTAGCTTGGGTCAGATCTTAATTTATCCAGGCAGGTTTATTTTATCCGGCTGGGGACATGCTGGCACAGACACCCTCCGGCAACTGGGGTCCCCCCACGGACCCCAACATCTCCCAGCACCCTCAGGTGGGTGAGGAGCCCAGGGAGATGCTTCGGGAGCCCTGTGGGTGAGGGCAGGGTGGGTTTTGCAGGGATGATGCAGAGCCGGGGGGGCCTGCGATGCGCAGCCCCGAGGGGCGGTCGAGGGACTGGCAGCCGAGGGGCTCGCTGCCCTCCAGAGCTTGGCCAAGCTGCCCGGGTGCAGGGACAAGGACATCGGTCCCCTCCTGGCACCACACACCCCCAGCACTGCGTGATGCCCCCCGGCCGTGCCCCCGGGCCCCACCAACAGCATGGCGGGGGGAGCATGGGGGCTCCTAGCCCAGTGCTGGCCAGTGTCCAGGGATGGGTAGTGACACCACAGAGGGCATCACGGTGCCACAGCCCCAACAAAGGGGGTGCCAGAGCCATCAATAATGGTGGGCACAGGCTCTACCCTGCCTGGCCAGCAGTGGGGTGTGCTGGGGGTCCCTGGGGAAACTGAGGCACATCGGGCATGCAACCCCCCCCAGTCCTCAGGGAGCTGCGTGTGCCCGGCTGGGCACTGTGGGGGGGACCACAAGCCCTCGTGGCTTTGGGGACAAGGAGGGCACAGCCTCTGCCAGTGAGTAGCTGGGACCAGATCCTGCCCCAGGGCCCGGGTAAGGGGGCTTTGACCATCAGCTGGGGGGGTGCACGTGTGCGCACGCGTGGTGCTGGCGCCGTTACGCCCGGTGCACGTGGCTCGTCTGCTCGGGGGCAGGATGGGCCCAGCAGCGCGCTGGGAACGGCGGGCGCTGCGCTGGGGGTCCGGGGGGGGTGGGTGTGGGTACCCTGTGCAGGACAGGGCAGCAGCTGCTGGGCAGGGTAGGGGGAGTTCGTGTAGTGGGTTGAGACGTGGCTGGGCTGGGCTGAACTGGGATGGGGTATTGGGGTGCTGCATGCCATGCTGGGGGCACTGCATACTGGGCTGGATTGAGGGCACCCTGTGCTGGCTCGGCTGGAGGTACAGTGTCACACTGGGCGGGGGGGTACCCTGGACTGGGCTGGGGGGGTACCCTGGACTGGGCTGGACTGGGAGCACCCCCACACCGGACTGGGAGCTCAGTGTCCTGCCTTGGGGTGCCCGCCCCGGAGGGTTCCCCGGCCGCGCCGCAGCTGGCGGGTGTCCCCAGGGAGGTGGCTGCCCCTCTGCCACCCCCCAACCCCCACCGGCGACCTTGACCCCGGCGTCTGGGTCCCCAGCAGCCGCAGTCACCTGACTGTCTAATTGGGAACACAGCGGCTGTAAATACTCTCTGATAAGGCCTGGCAGCCTCTCACTTTCCCTCTTAAGGTCGCTCCGTGTCCCGCTTAAGGGGGACTGGGAGGGCTGGTGGCACCGGCTGCACGGGGGGTGGGACCCCCCCGGGGTGCTGTGGGGTGCAAGGCGGGTGCTCAGCATTGCCCCAGCCCCAACCCACAGCGGGCACCTTCTGTGGGGCTGTGGCTAGCGAGGGGCTACCCGGCCTGCCGCCTCAGTGGGGAAACTGAGGCGAGGAGGGACACTGGGGCAGCCAGTTGGGACCTTGTGCTGTGTGGCCAGGCCAGGCCATGGCACCGTTTGGGGTGCACTGGGTGCCCCTCATGATTGCTGGCCACCTCCCTGCCCCACACGCTGCCTGCTCCCGCTCGCTTTCCCCCTTTGCACATCTCACCCTGCAGCCAGCACCCCCCCCCCCGCAGCATCCCCAGCCCCAAAGAGCCTGGGGGAGGGTGGGAGGAGGCTGGGGGGATCTTGGCTACACGTAGCCCCCCCGGCTGGGCAGCTCCGGCTCCCCGCAGCCCCCGCGGCCCCCCGTTATCAGGCCGGAGCACGTGGGCTCTCGGCTCCCCCGCCTATGCCGGCCCGTTTTGCTGGTGTCAGCACAATTTCCCAGCCGCTGCTCTGGCAACGCCAGGGAGGGGAGGCGGTGGAGGAGCATCCCCCCCCCCAGCACTGCTCTCCCCACCTGGGGTCGGGAGCAGTCTGGGGTGGGGAGGGCTGAACTCCCAGCCCCCACCCCGGACTGATGTCAAGGGCCAGCTCTACCTCATGGCTCTTTCTTGCCCCTCATCCTTCTGCCTGGAAGACCCACCCCGCTTTCCGAGCCCCCAGGTGCACTTGGGGAAACTGAGGCCTGAGCGATGCTGGGCTGGGGGGTGGTCCCGTGCCAGCCCCGCTGTGGGATGCAGGGGAGCGCTGAGCGCCTGGGTCCACTGCCCAGGGATCAGGGGAGCAGCATCAGCCCCCGGAGCTCTCTGCCCAGTACCCATGGGCCCCCGTACCCCTGCGGGCAGGGTGGGCTGCCAACTGGGAGCAGGACTGGGAGCGGGATGATGGGTGCTGGGTGGGAGCAGGACTGGGAGCAGGATGGTGGGTGCTGGGTGGCAGCAGGGTGGGATGCGGGACTGGGAGCAGGATGTTGGGTGCAGGATGGGAGCAAGATGATGGGAGCAGGTCTGGATGCAGGACTGGGAGCAGAATGATGGGTACTGGGTGGGAGCAAGATGATGGGAGCAGGGTGGGATGCAGGACTGGGAGCAGGATGGTGGGTGCTGGGTGGCAGCAGGGTGGGATGCGGGACTGGGAGCAGGATGTTGGGTGCAGGATGGGAGCAAGATGATGGGAGCAGGTCTGGATGCAGGACTGGGAGCAGGAGGATGGGTGCAGGATGGGAGCAGGATGATGGGAGCAGGG